GGCAACTGCTAACAGCTCTAAAAGAGGAAATCGACAGTAACACAATAATAGTGGGGGACTTTAACACCTCACTTACACCAATGGACAGACCATACAAACAGAAAATTCATAAGGAAACATAAGCTTTAAATGACACAATACATCAGATAGATTTAATTGATATTTATAGGACATTCCATCCAAAAACAGCAGATTACACTTTCTTCTCAAGTGCACACGGAACATTCTCCAGGATAGATCACATCTTGGGTCACAAATCAAGCCACAGTAAACATAAGAAAATTGAAGTCATATCAGGCATCTTCTCTGACCACAATGCTATGAGACAGAAATGAATTACATGGAAAAAAACATAAAAAACACAAATACATGGAGGCTAAACAATACGCTACTAAATAACAAAGATATCACTGAAGAAAGCAAAGAGGAAATCAAAAAATACCTAGAGACAAATGACAATGAAAACACGATGATCCAAAACCTATGGGATGTAGCAAAAGCAGTTCTAAGAGGGAAGTTTATAGCAATACAAGCCTACCTCAAGAAACAAGAAACATTTCAAATAAACAATCTAGCATTACACCTAAAAGAACTAGAGAAAGAAGGACAAACAAAACCCAAAGTTAGAAGAAGGAAAGAAATCATAAAGATCAGAGCAGAAATAAATGAAATAGAAACAAAGAAAACAATAGCAAAGATCAATACAACTAAAAGCTGGTTCTTCGAGAACAGAAACAAAATTGATAAACCATTAGCCAGACTCATCAAGATAACGAGGGAGAGGACTCAAATCAATAAAATTAGAAATAAAAAAGGAGAAGTTACAACAGACACCGCAGAAATACAAAGCATCCTAAAAGACTACTACAAGCAACTCTATGCCAATAAAATGGACAATCTGGAAGAAATGGACGAATTCTTAGAAATGTGTAACCTTCCCACCCTGAACCAGGAAGAAATAGAAAATAGGAACAGACTAATCACAAGTAATGAAATTGAAACTGTGATTAAAAATCCTCCAACAAACAAAAGTCCAGGACCAGATGGCTTCACAGGTGAATTCTATCAAACATTTAGAGAAAAGCTAACACCCATCCTTCTCAAACTCTTCCAAAAAATTGCAGAGGAAGGAACACTCCCAAACTCATTCTATGAGGCCACCATCACCCTGATACCAAAACCAGACAAAGATATCACACACACACACAAATTAGACACCAATATCACTGATGAACATAGATGCAAAAATCCACAACAAAATACTAGCAAATGGAATCCAACAACACATTAAAAGGATCACACACCATGATCAAGTGGGATTTATCCCAGGGATGCAAGGATTCTTCAATATATGCAAATCAACCAATGTGATACACCATATTAACAAACTGAAGAATAAAAACCATATGATCATCTCAATAGATGCAGAAAAAGCTTTTGACAAAATTCAACACCCATTTATGATAAGAACTCTCCAGAAAGTGGGCACAGAGGGAACCTACCTCAACATAATAAAGGCCATATACGAACAACCCACAGCAAACAACATTCTCAATGGTGAAAAACTGAAAGCATTTCCTCTAAGATCAGGAATAAGACAAGGATGTCCACTCTCACCATTATTATTCAACAAAGTTTTGGAAGTCCTAGTCACGGCAATCAGAGAAGAAAAAGAAATAAAAGGAATACAAATTGGAAAAGAAGAAGTAAAACTGTCACTGTTGGCAGATGGCATGATACTATATACATAGAGAAGCCTAAAGATGCCACCAGAAAACTATTAGAGCTAATCAATGAATTTGGTAAAGTTGAAGGATACAAAATTAATGCACAGGAATCTCTTGCATTCCTATACACTAATGATGAAAAATCTGAAAGAGAAATTCAGGAAACGCTCTCATTTACCATTAAAACAAAAGAATAAAATACCTAGGAATTGGAGGTATTTTACCTACCTTTTGTGTCCCTAGGTAGGTCTTTTGTCTCCCTACTTAGGGAGACAAAAGACCTGCATGCAGAAAACAATAAGACACTGATGAAAGAAATTAAAGATGACACCAACAGATGGAGAGATATATCATGTTTTTGGATTGGAAGAACCAATATTGTGAAAATGACTATACTACCCAAAGCAATCTACAGATTCAATGCAATCCCTATCAAATTACCAATGGCATTTTTTTCGGAACTAGAACAAATCATCTTAAAATTTGTATGGAGACACAAAAGACCCCGAATAGCCAAAGCAATCTTGTGAACGAAAAACAGAGCTGGAGGAATCAGACTCCCTGATTTCAGACTATACTACAAAGCTACAGTAATCGAGACAATATGGTACTGGCACAGAAACAGAAACACAGATTAATGGAACAAGACAGAAAGCCCAGAGATAAACCCACCCACCTATGGTCAACTAATCTGTGACAAAGGAGGCAAAGATATACAATGGAGAAAAGACAGTCTCTTCAATAAGTGGTGCTGGGAAAATTGGACTGCTACATGTAAAAGAATGAAATTAGAACACTCCCTAACACCATCCACAAAAATAAACTCAAAATGGATTAGAGACCTAAATATAAGACTGGACACTAGAAAACTCTTAGAGGAAAACACGGGAAGAACACTCTTTGACATAAATCACAGCAACATCTTTTTTGATACACCTCCTAAAATAATGGAAATAAAAACAAAAATAAACAAATGGGACCTAATGAAACTTCAAAGCTTTTGCACAGCAAAAGAAACCATAAACAAGACGAAAAGACAACCCTCAGAATGGGAGAAAATATTTGCAAATGAATCAGCAGACAATGGATTAATCTCCAAAATATATAAACAGCTCATGCAGCTCAATATTAAAGAAACAAACAACCCAATCCAAAAATGGGCAGAAGCACATGAAAAGCTGTTCAATCCAAAAAATGGGCAGAAGCACATGAAAAGCTGCTCAATATCACTAATTATTATAGAAATGCAAATCAAAACTACAATGAGGTATCACCTCACACCAGTTAGAATGGGCCATCATCAGAAAATCTACAAACAACAAATGCTGGAGAGGTTGTGGAGAAAAGGGAACCCTCTTACACTGCTGGTGGGAATGTATATTGATACAGACACTATGGAGAACAGTATGGAGGCTCCTTAAGAAACTAAAAATAGAAGTACCATGTGATCCAGCAATCCCACTACTGGGCATATACCCAGAGAAAACCATAATTCAAAAAGACACATGCACCCCAATGTTCACTGCAGCACTATTTAAATAGCCAGGTCATGGAAGCAAGCTAAATGCCCATCGACAGATGAATGGATAAAGAAGTTGTGGTACATATATACAGTGGAATATTACTCAGCCATAAAAAGGAACGAAATTGAGTCATCTGTTGACATGTGGATGGATCTAGAGACTCTCATACAAAGTAAGTCAGAAAGAGAAAAACAAATATCGTATATTAACGCATGTATGTGTAACTTAGAAAAATGGTACAGATGAGCCGGTTTGCAGGGCAGAAGTTGAGACACAGTTGTAGAGAACAAACGTATGGACACCAAGGGGGTAAAACCACGGTGGGGGTGGGGATGGTGGTGTGCTCAATTGGGCGACTGGAATTGACATGTATACACTTATGTGTATAAAATTGATGACTAATAAGAACCTGCTGTATAAAAAAACAAAGAAACAAACAAAAAAATACTGTCACAGAAAAAAGTATTTTCAGTAGTTCAAAGTATTTCCTGAGTACCTATCAGTGCAAGACACTGTTCTGGAGCCTGGGAATATAATAGTTTGTAAGAAAAACAAGGCCCTGCCTTCAAAAAGCTTATAAATGCAAACAAATGATTAAATAATATAATTTTAGATAGTGATTTATGCTATTAACAAAATTATTATAAGGTAAAATATCTGTTCAATGAACAAACAGGGTAATCATGTTAGGGATGGAGGAAAATGTAACTAAAAAAGGATGAAGGCTTTCAGTGCACTGGAGAATATACAGAAACATTACCTGTCTTCATAGATATTGAGTACCCACTTTTAGTGGTATTATTTATATCTTGAACCTGAAATATTTCATATTATACTGACTGGAAACATGGCATAGTGGTTAAAAGCATGGCCTCACCTCCAGAGCTTGATAGCGTAGATTATTTGATCTTTCTCACCTCACTTTCCACATCTGCAAATCAGGGATAATAACAGCAACCATCTCATAGGATTGTTTTTGAGAACTGTATGAGCTTAAAAATGTCAAGTGCTCATATAGCAACTGTTTAAAAGTTATATTAGGGACACCTATTATTTCTATAAAGTCACTATAACCTTTTGACTATGATAACTAAATCCCTCTGTCAGAAAGAGAAAGTGGGTGAGGCCAAGGTAATGGGATAGAATGTGACTGAGGGCAGTAGGGGACTATTTTAGCTGAGACAGGCTCCAGGAAAGCCTCCAGGAAGGGGTGACACCTACACAGAGTTGAACCCTAGGAAGTCAGTCATGCTAAGATCTAGGGAAGGAACAGCTAAGTTTCTAAGGTGAGAATATAAAATTGAAAAAAATTTACAATGGATAAAGTGAAAACTGTAGATTATAAATGTCAAGTAAAATATTATCACAGTTTGCTTAAGATATATATACACATTTTATTTATATGTATAAAAATAAATGCTTAGATTTATAAAGCCATGTTTTATTATTTCTTTAGCCTGTTTTCCATTGGTTTTGGTCTTTGGTATGAATAACTATTACACTATTATGACTATTATTGTTCTAAAATGTTATTTATTAACAAGGCCAAGGATACTGATTTATCCCCAGATAGCCAGTCAGCTTTGCTGTGGTCTAATGTGACAATCACACTTGTCACTGTATCAATAGTGGTAAGATCTACCACTGCCTTAAAACCAGGTGAACAGAACAGGCATGACACAATAATCACATCATTGTACACATGCATCATTGTACATCATTACAAACTGAGTGGCATGGGTTTCCTTACCTTGGGCCATTGCTGTCTTTTCTCCTTGTTGAACAGTTGCCTTGCTCAGCTCTGGCTCGCTGATCTGTGAAATCATTTGTGTTCCTATCTACAATCTCTCCAGCATCAAGTGCTCTGTGGAGTCGATAGTTGACCATCTTCAGAACAATGAAAACAGCAGCTATCACAGGACAATAGACTGCTACTATAATCATGGAAGAAGGAAGGGCCTTAAAGAGAAAGAAAATAAAGATAGGAATTTTAAAATATTTTATACTTTATTCAATTAGAGAAATCTGTAACTAAAATAATAAACACATTCTCACACAAAGCAACAATTGTGTTCCTAGCACTAAGTTGTAAAAGTATAAGACAGCACCACTCAATACAGTAGCCACTTGCTACATGTGGCTATTGAGTGCTTGAAATGTGGTTAGCCTGAATTGAGATGTGCACTAAGAATAAAATAACACTGGATTTTGAAAATTCAGTATGAAAAAAAGAATGCAAAATATCTCAATTTTTATACTGATTACACACTGAAATATATTTAGATTATATTGGGTTAAATAAAATATATTATTAAAGTTAATTTCATCTGTTACTTTTATTTTTAATGTAGCTACTAGAAAAGTTTTAAATTACATACGTGGCTTACAATATATGTCCACTGGACAGCACTGTTACAAAGTCCATGCCAAAAAATTTTTAATACTAGTAGAGAGTTAAGGTATCACATTATATAATATGTGAATAAGACAGGGTTGTGATCCAAATACATATAATCCCTGTTTATGTGCTCCCTGTAACTTTTTTTTAGGATATGAACTTTCTTTGTGTCCTAGAAAATCCCAAGTTAAAACTGTTATGAGAATAACCTTAGAACTATGACTATAAAACCAGATAAGACATGGGGGACATTCAAAATCCAAATGTTTTATTTTAAAATACTTAAATGTTGAAAATACTGAAAAATTGTAACCTGCCAAATAAAACGAATAAAAGAATACAGAATAGAATCAAGCAATAAATAGATTTATTGAAATAGTCAGAAGCATCCTGGGCATGGGGACTGCACACCCATCATACCTGAGAATTCAGTGATGTGGACATGAGTCCGGGGCTGGCAGGCTGGAGAACACCCCACTTGGAAGGCATGACTCAGAGTCACTGCTAGCAAAGCCTATAAAACTAGGCTCAAGTTATGCCCCTTTTCATGAGAAAAAAATCATCCCAGGTGTTCACAGCTCTAGATTTCACATGTATTCATAAGGTTCCACCTCATTAATCTGAGAACATGGCTCTAAGTTTACTTGGAAAGATATCCTCAAATCGCTTGAGAAGGTGAAATTGAAAAGGTTCTAATGAACCAGGGAGGTTTCAAAGACAGATATGATAAAAGTTTAAAAAATAAGACAGTTATTTGGGAGGTAGAGAGAGGGAAACATTGTGGGTTGGAACTGGGAGGCGGGAAAAGAAAGTAAATCAAGCCTAAAGTTTAATACTTTGGGGTTGAGTGCAGGCATAATAGGTAAATATTTGGTATTTTTATTTTTTAATTTTATTTATTTTTGGCTGTGTTGGGTCTTCATTGCTGCACATGGGCTTTCTCGAGTTGCGGCGAGCGCGGGCTACTCTTCATTGCCGTGCACGGGCTTCTCACTGTGGTGGCTTCTCTTGTTGCGGAGCACAGGCTCTAAGCGCACAGACTTCAGTAGTTGTGGTTCGCGGGTTCTAGAGCACAAGCTCAGTAGCTGCAGCACACGGGCTTAGCTGCTCCGCGACATGTGGGATCTTCCCAGACCAGGGATCGAACCTGTGCCTCCTGAATTGGCATGTGGATGCTTAACCACTGCACCACCAGGGAAGTCCTATTTGGTATTTTTAAATGCTTAGATTAAGAAGCCCTTCATATTAGTGTATCTAAAAAATTACACTGGTGATTTCAATTTAAAATGTCATTGAATAACAGATCTAGGCTTATAAAATGTATTTAAAATCTTACAAAATCCATAAATATCAGGTTTAGAAGAGTTAAGTACTCCAAAAGATGTTAGATAATTTACATAATTTACTTAAAATTTACTTAAAATTTATAAATGCAATTTAAATTCAAGGGATCTTAAGCTACATGAAAAAAACAAATCTCTTAAAAATGACTGTTAAAATGTGTTCAATTTGTAAAGAGTTGAGTTTAAAATTCTAAGTTAATTTATAGCTTTAATAAATCTAACATTCATTGCAAAAAAAAAAAAAAAGTTCCCTGAAAAACTTTTTCCAAACAGAAACACACACACACAAATTGACAAAAATTTCAAAGTAAACATGCACATAAATACATACAAACACATACACTGCTTAGAATATTTATAGAAGTTCTGCATGATGCCGATTTCCATATGATATGTTCACTTAAGAACTGGAATTCTTGGAGATCATTTAGTTCAACACCCTCATTTCCGGACTAAAAACAGAGCTACTGTATAATCCAGCAATCCCACTCCTTAGCATATATCTGAAGAAAACCATAGTTCGGAAAAATACATGCACCTCCATGTTCACTGCATCACTGTTTACCACAGCCAAGACATGGAAGCAACCTAAATGTCCATCGACAGATGAATGGATAAAGATGCGGTACATATATACAAGTAATATTGTACATATATACAGTATTACTCAGCCGTTAAAAAGAATGAAATAATACCGTCTGCAGCAACATGGGTGGACCTGGAGATTATCATACTAAGTGAAGTCAGACAGAGAAAGACAAATATCATATGATATCACTTATAAGCTGAATCAAAAAAAAAAATGATACAAATGAACTTACTTACAAAACAGAAACAAACTCACAGACTTAGAAAATGAATTTATGGTTACCAGGGGGGAAGAGTGGGGTGGAGGGATACATTGGGAGTTTGGGATTGACATGTACATACTGCTGTATTTAAAATAAAATGACTTTCCATGAAATTAATTAATTAATTTAAAAACATGTATCACTGTATATAGGAATATGTATATATTTATATATGTATGTGTGTATACATATACATATATAAGTGGGAGAGAGAGTGAAGAGTTGTTTAATGGGTGTAGAGTTTCAGTTTTGCAGAATGAAATGTATATTATATAAAGAATAAATATAAAGAATTCCTTCAAAATCAATAACAAAGAGGCAGACCAATGAAAATAAAGGACAACAGATAGAACTTACACAGAAAAATATAAATAGCCAATAAAAACAACATGTTCAACTTCATCAGTAATGAGCAAAATACAATGTAAAACCTCAACAATATATCATTAACGCCCATCTTAATGAACAAAAATTAAGAAATCAGACAAAATTAAGTATGGACAACCAGACCTCTTATAAACTGCTAGTAGAAATATAAATTGATAGATACACCACCCAAGATCCACCAATTTCTCTCATAAGCATAAAAATGAAAGAAACTCTTACACTCGCAGCATAAGACTTTTACCAAAAACTGGGGGTGGGGGGGGACCTCAATTGAAAATCAACAGGAAAATGGAAAACGGAAGACTAGTTACCAACGGAATATAACAGTAAAAACTACAGCTACAGGCAGCAACATTAACTGTACATATACAATATGTGTTGTATTCCTAATATAAACTTACGTTTTACTGTATTTTCTTGATTTTTTGGTAATAAGCATGTATTTCTTTTATAGTTAGAAAAGAGAGCTAAAATTTTAATAGTGATAAAAAGGTTTTCATATTAGAAAAAGAGTATATTAGCTTTCATCTTTTACAAAGACATGATCTACATTCTTCTCATTAATGGATGCCTTATCAATAGGTCAAGTTCCACATCAAGGCCGTTTGTCATCTTACTCCTTATTTTCAAGAAGTTTAAAAAAAAATCTTAACTCTCAATTATACATCCCTGAATGGCAGGAAGTGTTAACAGCTGTCAGAGAGCTCTAGATATTCAGATCAAACATAGCCCCCCAAATTGTAGTAAGCCTCCTTACTAAGAACTATGTTAGATACTTTACATAAGATCAATCCTCTTAGAAGCTGGATGAATAGAAATGTAAATGAAAACTACAATTAAATATTACCACATACCCATTAGGATGGCTACTATCAACTAACCAGAAAAAAAAAAAAAAGGACAGAAAATAACAAGTGTTGGCATGGGTGTGGAGAAATTGGAACCTCTGTACGCTGTTGGTGGGACAGTAAAATGATGCAGCCTCTATAAAAACAGTATGGTGGTTCCTCAAAAATATTAAAAATAGAATTACCATATGATCTAGCAATTCCAATTCTGGGTATTTATTCCAAAGAATAAATCGAATCTTGAATAAACTGCAGGATCTCGAAAATATATCTGGACATTCATGTACACAGCAGCATTATGCATATGCACAATAGCCAAGAGATGGAAGCAATGCAGTGTCTATGAATGGACGAATAGATAAACAAAAATGTGGTCTATATGTATGATGCATTATTCAGCATTGAAAGGAATGAACTCTTTTTTTTTTTTTTTTTTTTGCGGTACGCGGGCGTCTCACTGTTGTGGCCTCTCCCGTTGCGGAGCGCAGGCTCAGCGGCCCGGGCTCACGGACCCAGCCGCTCCGCGGCATGTGGGATCTTCCCGGACCAGAGCACGAACCCGTGTCCCCTGCATTGGCAGGCGGACTCTCAACCACTGCGCCACCAGGGAAGCCCAAAAGTCGCATGATGCTGCACAGATGAACCTTGAGAACAGTATGCTAAGTGAAATAAGCCAGCAACAAAAAGGCAAAATACTGGATGATTCCACTTATATGAGGCATCTAAAGTAGTCAAATTTATAGAAATAGAAAGCAGAATGATGGTTGCCATGGGCTGGTGGGAGAGAGTGAAGAGTTGTTTAATGGGTGTAGAGTTTCAGTTTTGCAGAATGAAAAGGTCCTGGAAATGCATTCCACAACAATGTAAATATACTTAACACTACTGAACAGAACACTTAAAAATGTTAAACACTTAAAAATGGTAAATTTTACGTTACGTGTTTTTTACTACAATTTAAAAAGTTAGACGGACAAATGTTTCACTCTTTTCTCTCTGGTGAGGAAAGTCAAGTGTTGAGAAACAAGCTAGGAGACTGAGCCATTTACACCACTTCTTAAATTCTGACAGTTTATCCTGAACATTAAAAAGTTGTGTTATTTCAGCCAGGAGTGATAGGTTCAAGCTATTCAAG